TCAGGGTTGGAACGTAATAGTTTCGTCAGGGATGCGTCAACGTTGGAAAGTAAGGGTTGCGTCAGGTATTCGTCAGTTTTTAAACGTCAGGGTTGCTTTAAGTATGCATCAGGGTTGGAACGTCAGGGTTGCTTTAGCGATGCGTCAGTGTTTGAACATTAGGGTTGGTCTAGAGATGCGTCAGGATTGGAACGTTAGGGTTTCTTTAGGGATGCGTTAGGGTTGGAACTTCAGGGTTGCTTAGGGAATGCGTCAGGGATGAAACATCAGAGTTGCGTCAGGGATGCGTTTAGGTAGAAACGTCAGGGGTTGCATTAGGGATGCGTCAGGGTTTGAAAGGCAGGGTTGCTTTAAGGATGCGTATGGGTTTGAATGTCAGGGTGGATTTAGGGATGCGTCAGGGTTGGAACGTCAGGGTTGCTTTAGAAATGCGTTAAGGTTGGAACATAAGGGTTGCTTTAGGAAGTGGTCCGGGTTGGAACATCAGTGTTGCTTCAGGGAAACGTCAGTGTTTGAACGTCATGTTTGCGTCAGGGATGCGTCAGTGTTAGATCGTCAGGGTTTTGTTAGGGATGCGTCAGGGTTTTAACTTAACATTTGCGTCAGGGTTGCGTCAGTGTTGCGTCTGGGTTGGAACGTCAGGGTTGCTTAAGGGATGCGTCAGGGTTAAAACGTCAGGTATTTTTAAGAGATGCGTCAGAGTTTGAACGTTAGGGTTGCTTAAGGTATGCGTCAGGGTTGAAACGTCATGGTTGCTTTAAGTATGCGCCAGGTTTAGAACGTCAGGGTTGCTTTAGGGATGCGTCAGAATGGAATCTTTAGGGTGGCTTTAGGGATGCGTCACGGTTGGATCGTAAGTGTTGCGACAGGGATGCGTCAGTGTTGGAGCGTCAGGGTTGCGTCAGGGATGCGTCAGGGTGGGAACGTTAGGTTTGCGTAGGGGTTTGGACATCATGGTTGCTTTAGTGATGGGTCAGGGTTAAACTTTAGGGTTGCGTCAGGGATGCGTCAGTGGTCAAACGTCATGATTGTCAGGGATGCGTCAGTGTTGGAACGTCAGGGTTGCGTTAAGGATGCGTCAGGGTTTGAACTTCACGTTTGCGTCAGGGATGCGTCAGGGATTCGTCAGTTTTTAAACGTCAGGGTTGCTTTAGGTATGCGTCAGGGTCGGAACGTCAGTGTTGCTTTAGCGATGCGTTAGTTTTAAAACATTAGGGTTGGTCTAGGGATGCTTCAGGATTGGAACGTCAGGGTTTCTTTAGGGATGCGTTAGGGTTGAAACGTTAGGGTTGCTTTAGGGATGTGTCAGGTTTGCAACGTCAAGGATTCTTTAGAGATGCGTTAGGGTTGGAACGTCAGGGTTGCTTTAGGGATTCTTCAGGGTGGAACATCAGGGTTGCTTTAGGAATGTGTCAGGGATGAAACGTCAGGTTTGCGTCAGCGATTTGTTAGGGTAGGAACGTCAGAGGTTGCTTTAGGGATGCTTCAGGGATGAAACGTCAGGTTT